CATCTGCAACCTTAATTCTTAACATATAGATATGAGTACATAGTTCTATTTTCCTCTCATTATATATATATTTACATATGTACATGCCTGTATTTAGGATTCTATAAATGTCCTTTGCCTCCTGGTTCTTTCCTCTATTTCCTTTTCACTTCCCTCTTGTCCCACCATTATGTTAGGCCTTCATTCGGATTTAGTAATTCCTTGCTGCTACATTGCCCTTGATTGAGCCCTACTAGGCATCCTATGACCCTCTTTCCATTGATTTTAGTTCTCTTGTTCTTCCCTTGTCTCTGGGTTGGTCCCCCCTCCCCTTCCTTTCTCCCACCTCCCCTTCTGCCGTATCCCCTCAGAACCATTGGTCCTGTTCTTTTCATCTCTGAATCATTTATCCCACATATCTTATCTTCATAGATATTCAGCTACATTAAAAAGTACAAAAACCAGGCAAAGCCACATAAAACAACAAAGGAAGTCAAAACAATTACAACAGCAGCAAAAACCAAACACAAAATAACAATAACAAAAAGAAACCCACTGACAAAAGTGGAAAAGCCTATAACTAGTTCAAGGTTTCTCACTGGTTCTTGGTCTACTATTACCTTGAGCATTATATAGTGCCCCTCCTTGTCTCTTGTAATGACTTGTGCCTTGAGATCAATTGTGTCAGAGATTAAGTTTGCCACCCTTGCTTCTTTTGCATTGCCATTTGCTTGGTATATTTTTCTCCAGCCTTTAATTCCCACCCTATTTTTGGCTGCAAGTTTGAGATGTGTCTCCTGTGGGCAGCAGATCAATCAGTTATGTTTTCTGAGTCAGTCTGTTAGCCTCTGCCTTTTAATGCCTGAGTTCAATCCATTGATATTTAGTGTTATTACATCTCTCTGGGGACTCTATGATTTCATTTTGTACCTTTTGTGTTGGGTGTTTTCCAACCTACCTCTCTTATCAGTTTGTGCTTGTGTATGTGGTTCATTCTCTCCTTGTTTCCACTATTGAGCTAATGCTATCTTGGGGGATGTTTTCTCTTTGTTGCCCTCTGGGTGGAGTTGTTCTATGTGATGGTCACTTATTTGCACTCAGTGGGAGTTGATCTTCTGCCTATACTGGGTGGTTTCTTTATATGCATTCTTTGAGTTTTTCCTTGTCTTGGAAGACTCTTACTTCTCCATCTATCTTAATAGATAATTTGGCCAGGTATAGTATTCTTGGGTTTGCGTTATTTTCCTTCAATTTTTGGAATATGTTACTCCATTTCCTCCTCTTCTTTCATTGTGTCCGCTCATAGGTCTGAACATACTCTTATTTGGGTACCTTTATAAGTGACTATTTGTTTTTCCTAAGCTGCTCTTGTGATTTTCTCCTTTTCCTCATGGTTGGATAATTTAACTATTATGTGCCTTGGTGACTTCTTCTTGGGATTCAATCTGGCTGGTGTTCTTTCAGCTTCCTGAATGGTTGCCTGATTTTCACTTATTAAGCCTGGGAAGTTTTCCTCTAAGAATTCTTCCCTTGCCATTTTTGCTGTTGACTTCTTTGTTGTGTCTTGTTTGGGTAATCCAATTATTGTAATATTGTTCCACTTCATAACATCAGACATGGCTCTCAGGTTTTCTTCAGCTTCTCTGATTGTCTTCTTTCACTGCTTTTTGCATTTGTTGAGGTATGTTTTGTTATCCTTTAGATCAGGGGTGTCAAACTGGCAGCCTGTGGGCCTCATGTAGCCTCCGAGGTAATTTTTTGTAGCTCACAATGCTCTGAAATAAAATGTAATCAGGGAATTGTGTGCACAGTATTGCCTCGATCTCTCCTAAGAACTATTTTCTTCATAACAATTATTTTCTATTTTAATTTTATTTCACAGTATTGTGGACCACAAAAAATTACCTCAGGGGTCACATGTGGCCCACAGGCCACCAGTTTTACACCCCTGCTCTAGGTCACTGTCCGATTCTCTGCCTCCTCAAGTCTGTTGGCAAAGTCTGTTAATTTGCTACTGGATTTTGTTATTTCATCCCTTAAGACTTGTATTTCCTGTTGGTGTGTTGCATTTATTTCCTCCATCATGTCATCCTTTTCCTGTATTGCCTCCCTCATATGCTGTATGACTCCAAGCAGCATTCTGAAAATTTCTTTCTGTGGCAACTCAATGGCCGCTTCTTCTATGCATGTCATTAGGTTCATGACTTCTTTTGGCATCGTCTTCTGCTTTTTCATTGAGGCTGTTGAGGCTGGTTGCTGTTTACATGTTGTTTTAGAGGAGCCTGGCACCATCTTCCAGATTTGAAGAGCACTGGACTCTCTCTTGGGGCACTGGTATGAGTGCTTCTATAAACCATCTGCAGGTAGCTGCAGTGGGGGGACAGGCTACCGCTGTATCCTACTGTGGTTTCACTCTTACCCTAGCCAGCCAGTTTTCCGCTATTTGGAATGTGAGTTGGATAGTCCTCTCACGGAATGCTGGTTGGTTGGTTGTGGGCATACAAGGGTAGCATTTCAATGGATGATCTCTCAGTAAGCCATAGTGGTGTGTCTCATGGTGCTTGGAGCACCTCAGGTGACATGTGGTGTTTCCCTCTGCAACTGGAGTGCTTCAGAGGGCGTGTGGGTGAACCCCCCTTTGTGTAGAGCACCATAGATGGCAGGCAGAATTACCCTAGTCGGAGAGTTTGCCGTGGAGGTTGGGCGGATGTTTCTCCAGCAGCATGGAGCACCACCAGTGGTGGGCAGGACTTCCCCCAGTCACTTGTAGAGGCTTGGGGTGTAGGCTGGCATTCCCCTGGCCATTTGAAGCAGAGATCCCCTAGCTGCTTGGGGTATGGTGGAGGATGGGCATGATTTTCCCAGCTGCGTGTAAATCCAGCAAGCGTGAGCAGGTGATCCCCCAACTGGGCTGGCAAACTTGCCCTAGGCAGAGGGGAGTGGCCTGGAGGCTGGTAGTTGTTTGTGAAAGAAAAGAGAGGGAGAAGAGAAGAAAAATAGGGAAAAGAGAAAACAAAGACAAGAACAAAAATAAAAAACAAACTGACACACACACACAACGGAAAATGCAAAGACAAAAGTAAAAACAGTCAAAACAATAAATAACAAAAATGGAAAACTGAATCTGCTGAGACTGTGGCAGGAGAGAGAAAAGAGGTAGAAGAAGGGGTAAATAAGAAGAAAAAAAGAAAGCAATAAAAGAGAAGAAAAATAGATGAAGATATAGCTGAGCCCTGTGCCATGCTGTAGGTAGCACTGCCTTGTGACATGTGCAGCACTGTCACAGGGGGCTGACTGGAGCTTTCCCCACTGGGTGGACGGAGCTTTCCTAGGTAGAGGGTAGGGGCCTGGGAACCAGCAGTGGCATGTGGAAGGAAAGAGAGGGAGAGGAGAGACACAGAAAAGAAGAAGAAGAGAAAAAAAGAGAAAAGAAAGGTAAAAAAGAAAAGTAAGAAAGAGAAAAAGGGGAAAAAACATAACTGCTCGCTAACATTGACTGTGGTAGGAAAGAGAAGAGAGAAGAAAAAAATAAAGAGTGAAGAGATAGCTGAGCTCTGATTGCCTGAATGTGGGCCTGGAGGGGCTTAAACCCTGCCCCAAGGGGGCACGTTGGTGTGCCCTTTTAGTGCAGGGTCCCACCAGGGTTGGGCGGAATTGCCCTAGTTGGCAAGATCACCATAGAGGCCAGACTGAGGTGTCCTCAGCAGCATGGAGCACTGTAGAGGGCTGTCACAGCTGCCTTGTGTGGATTTCCGTCATACAGTCTCCTCTATGGATCCTTTCTTGTGTCCCAGGAGATCTACCAGCCTCAGAGAAGGCATAAGGTTTCAAAAGATCCACCTCTCTATGGGCACAAGCTAGGTTTGCTCAAGGTGAATTGGAAGACATGTGTTGAGGGCATCCTTCAGGGAATCCTTCAATTTTTTTTTTTTTGAGACCATGAATGATAAGAAAAACCTACCACACTACTTCACTTGAATTGCATTTAGCTATAGGTAAAGAGAAGAGAAAGATGTGGTTCCTGTAACTTCTGTAAAGAGTTACAGTCTCAGAAACTCACAGGAGCAATTCTATCCTGTCCCACAGGGGTGCTATGCACCAGCACCGACTCCATGGTAGTGAGTTTAGGTAAAGAATATTGATATCTGCATATAGCCCAAGCTAGTGATGACTGAGGAAAACAGACTCGCCTATATTGAATGCTGTTCTTGCACAATAAATTAAAAACATAAAACAAAAGAAATAAAAGATTGGTTTGGCAAGGACCTCGTAGAGTACTACGAAAGAAAGAGTCTTAGCATCACTGATCAAGTCAAAGTAGTTCTTGTATGTGGAACTCAGAATAGCCTGTAATATTTATCAGCTAGTTCTCTGTAAGTCTTGTGTGTGCAAAAGGGGTCTACCACCCTCTGACTTCACAGAGGGGAGGAGGATCGAGATCAACAGCCCAAGGCGGATTCCTATGAAGTGAAGGTCAGACGTGTGTCCACCTTCCAACCATTTTGCCAATTCTGACATCAGCTTCCCCTCCCACATCACACTCTCTACTTCTCTGCTGATTCGATAAATCAGTGACCATGTAGAACTCACAGACAATATTCACAATTATGGGATTTGTTAGGGAAGGAACAGGTCATGTAATTCAGGATCAGAAAAGCCTCAGGATATAGTTCTTCAGTTATGACAGCCTCTTCACAGCAGTGCCCACATCCATCCATCCATCCATCCATCCTTCCATCCTTCCATCCTTTCTCCCTCTGCGCTTGCTCTCAGCCACACAAACATCCTTCAAGTCTTAATAAAATTATCTTGTCTTTTAGACATGGTCTTAGGGCCCTAGTTCCCGTTTCTACCGAGCTTCTTCCCATTCTCTCCTTCCCCTGCCTGCCTCTCATAGATCAAGTTTTTCCTACTTATTGTGAAATGTGAGCCGTCTGGCTGTGGGATCTAATGGATACCTTTCACTTTAAGCATCTCTCCGCTGACTTCCATAATAATGTATTTCCCTGCCATCCTTATTACTTGAAAACTCTGCCTTGACTTGTTCTTGCACTACTGTTCCTGAGTTCATCCATGACATGTCAGTGTTCTTCAGGGTTCTGTCCCCAAGTTCTTCTCTGAGTGATCTCATCTATTCCATAGTTCTTTCTAACTGCCACAGAGCCTAAAATTTATGTCTCAGCACAAGTGGCTACACTGAGCTTCCCATCCTTATCTCAGGGCCCACTGGAGAACAGCACTTAAATATTCCCAAGCTAAACTCACCCTTCTCATTAAGGAGCCATGGTGGCAGCAGGTCTGCATTGGACTGGTAACTGCAAGGTTCCCAGTTTGGAACCACGAAGGGCTCTGCAGGAGAAAGATGGGGCTTGCTATTCCCCTCAAGAATTATCATCTCAGAATCTCACAGATTCTGTCCTTTAGAGGCTCCATTGACAAAAATTTGATTTTTAGGTTATCTTTACCTCACAATATATGTAGACCAAGGCCAAACCAGGTAGCCATCCTTACCCCTGAGGTCTTCTACTTATTTACAGAAAAGGATTCTTATCATTTACATTCACTACATATTCAAGAATTGTGGGTGGTGGAGTTTTCAGATGGTTTTTAGCAACGACGTTGTAGTTACCACTTTAGTGAACACTTTTAATGAAAATTTCAAATATTCATTGTAAGTGATGACTTTAAGGTGGTCAATGTGAGCAAGATGTCGTTTATTAGTTAGGGCTAGGAAGAGGAGGCTGTATTTTGTTCTCTATCAAGGCAGCAGTGGAGTTTTATCTGTGTTTCCAGTCAGCTGTCCATCTGCACTGAACTTCTAAGACTCTACTAAGGTTTTGTCTACTTAGGATGACTCACCTTCTCCTGGAAAGAAGATTGAGAGATTTTCTCCCTGAAACAGTATAAATGTATTTTTCTCTGCAGGTCTGTGATTCAGCCCGAATCTTTGCTAATATTCACCCAGATATGACAATCAGAACGGGCTAGTAAAAAAGGGAGCATGGTGAGAGATTTCATTATATTTACTCTCTAATTCTTTTATTATCATCAGACATGTCAGTCTCTGGGTTGAATTGATAATGAAGAAGTTCAGTCTGAAAGAAATCATTTTCCAAGTAATAGGCAACTTGAGCAAACTCCAGTAGTCCCTGCTTATCTTAGAGACAATAAAACAGGCATATTGGTTTGAGTAAGAGCATCTTTTCCAGACACGCAGATTAGAAGTTTTAAGCACTGTCTGTACTAGAACATAGTTTAAGTTAAGCAACAGAACTTTTCGTTGGCTCTCGTGATGTGACCACAAAATAGTAAGTTCAATTTGTTACCAGACAGGAGAGAACTTACCCATCCAAAAGGAAGTTTCCTTTTCTAAAGGACTTTCCCTAAGGAACTATCTTATACTTGTTTTAACTATGCTGCCATTAAAAAAATAATCTCCTTCAGAATTGGTTTTAGAATATATCCCACCTTCTTGAAAAAAATGCTTGTCCTTGAGTATTCTTCCGTTGGTTCCAACTCCTAGTGGCCCTATCTACAACAGAAGGGAACACTGCTGGGCCCGGTACCATCTTCCCAATTGCCGCTGTGTTTGAGCTCATTATTACAGCCACTGTGTCAATCGGTCACACCGAGGGTCTTCATTTTTGTTGTTGTTGACCCTCTACTGTTCTAAGCATGATGTCCAGGAACTGGTCCCTTTTGAAAATCCTGAAAAGCCCCCAATCAAAACCAGTGCCATCAGGTGGATTCTGACTCACAGCAAGCCTACAGAGGGTTTCTGAAGCCGTGCATACTTGTGGGGGGAGACAGTCCCTTCTTTCTTCGGGTTAGCAGTCCAAGGCTTACCCAACAGCGCCTCCTGCAATTCCTTAATGGGGTGCATTGTTATTCTTTGAAGAGTGTTGCTGTGAACTTTGAAAACTATCAAAGGAAATTTGGTATTTGGCCTGGTGAGTTAGGTGAATGATAAATCTGGATAAAAAAATAATGATATTAAAGTTTGGCTGTAAGCCACCAAGTCATAAAGTTCATGAATGGTTCTGAAATCAGTTCCAGAGCCTATGTGAATATCATTGCAAGGTTTATTTTATCTTTCCTTTAAGGGGAAATACTAATAGAGTTATTTACACCTAAGGGTGCTTTTATAAAATAATCTGGATTACTTTGTAGTCATTCTTGAGCATGTCTTTTCATTTCTTTAGAGAGCCTATTTAGACATCACTATTTCTGAGGGTAAGGCTAGGTAAACGAAGAGAGAAGGGAACGAAATGCAAATGAAAGACAGGAGACAGACACGGGAGTGGAGAAACTGGAGCGAGAATAGATTCTCTCAAGACATTTAGGCCCCGGCATGGGTGAAGGCAAGCTCCAAAGATTCACACTCTCTGAGGAAACAATGTGTAAAAAGAGAATGTGAGGGGAGAATAGGTCCACAAGGCACTGTAGAAGGGGAACTGAAGACAGCAATAGGAAGTGGTTTGGGGACCCAACATTGTTCTGGAGAAGAGTTGAGAATATCTGTCACTCATTATCTTATCAGGCTTTTTTTTTAATCGTTTTATTAGGGGCTCATACCACTCTTATCACAATCCATACATACATCAATTGTGTAAAGCACACTTGTACACTCATTGCCCTCATCATTCTCAAAACATTTCCTCTCCACTTAAGCCCCCGGCATTAGGTCCTCATTTTTCTCCTCCCTCCCCGCTCCCCCACTCCCTCATGAGCCATTGATAATTTATAAATTATTATTTTGTCATATCTTGCCCTGTCCGACATCTCCCTTCACCCACTTTTCTGTTGTCCGTGACCCCAGGGAGGGGGTCACATATAGTTCCTTATAATAGGTTCCCTCTTTCCAACCCGCTCTCCCTCTACCCTTCCAGTATTGCCACTAACACCACTGGTCCTGAAGGGATCATCCGCCCTTGATTCCCTGTGTTTCCAGTTCCTATCTGTACCAGTGTACATCCTCTGGTCTAGCCAGACTTGCAAGGAAGAATTCGGATCATGATAGTGGGGGTGGGGAGGAAGCATTTAGAAACTAGAGGAAAGTTGTACTTCTCATCGTTGCTACATCGCACCCTGACTGGCTCGTCTCCGCCCCAAATCCCTCTGCAAGGGGATCTCCAGTGGCCTACAAATGGGCTTTGGGTCTCCACTCCGCACTCACCCATCATTCACTATGGTACAATTTTCCATTCTGATGATGCCTTATACCTCTTATTAGGCTTATCTCCAGCTCTGATGTTCTATACTTTGGCAACTCCAAGATGCAAGGATTAAAACACTAATATAAGTCTATAAATCTAAGGCAAAGAGGTCAGAAGTATTTTCAAAGCTTTTCTTCCAAACCATATGGGGGTTAATTAAGCCTCTGTGGGTCATGGGTGCAAGAGGTTTCTGCTTTCCTGGGATGCGCCCTGGAAATGACCACTGACTTTCAATCTGAGCAATCACAGCTGAGGAGTGGCTGGCTCGTTGACTCCAGTCACCAAGTTAGCATAACTTATACTTCACCCTGAGTTTTAGGCAGGGAGGTAAAAAACCCAACCAAACATTCCTTTATACTAGAAAATGTTCATTACTGCTTTACTATCTCTTATCAGCATTACTCTGTTTCTGTCTTCCCACCATGGACACCATCCATTGCTTTCTAAATGACAGAGTTAAAAGAATATGCCTTTTTGTAGAACATATATTGTGTTTTCGCCAAAGAACAAACTTAAAAACAAAATAAGCGCAATGAGTCCATTCTAGTCAATCTGACAGGGGAGCTGGGGGAAGAAAGGATGTCAGTGAGGGGGTGGATATCAACGACAAATTGCATCCAACTCTATCTCAGCTTCTAATGTGTTCTTCTGTCTTCAGCTTAGTGCCTTGGAGCTAAGGGTCCTAAATATTAAATTTTATATCATGGTATGTACTTCAGTGAGAAGTCCACATAGTCACACTAAAGCCATCAGAAACTCTTTCTAAGTTTCTGTTCCAAATTGAAAACAAGAAGGGAAGTTGCTTATCATCATCATCATCATCATAGCTGATCAGTAAAAGCACTTACTTAGGTGTCGCCACTACTCACCTGTCAGTTTTTGTACTGTAGTGGCTCGTGTGTTGTGGTGATGTGGGAAGCTATGACAATGGTATTTCACATACCAGTGGGTTCCCTGATGCTAGATAGATTTTAGCAGAGATTCCAGACCAAGACAGACTAGGAGGAAAGGCCTGGTGATCTACTTTCAAAAAGTAGATCACACAGAGCATTGTTGGACTCTCTTCCTTTGGGCATATCATTATGAAAACCAAACTCACTACCATCAAGTCAATTCCGACTCATCGTGAACCGATCGGACAGAGCACCACTACCTCGATGGGTTTCTGAGACGGTACTCTTTATGGAAGTAGAAGGTCTCAGCTTTCTCCCACAGAGCACCTGGTAGTTTCACATGACTTCCCTGTGGCTAGCAGCCCAATGTGTAACTCACTGTGCCACCAGGGAACCTGGACATGTCATTAGGAAGACTATATCACTGGAGAAGGGCATCATGGTTGATGAATTAGGAAGCCAACAAGGGAGAAGGAAACCCTTGGTGAAATGAAGTGGAGCAGTAGCTCAGTGATAGACTCAAATATGCTGGCCTTCATGAGAGGGACATAGGACTGAGCAATACTTTATTCTACTGTACATCAGGTCCCCATGAGTCTAAGTCATCTCAAGGGCAGCCACTCGTGTGTCTGTGATTGTGCTAACGTTTTACAGTTATTATCTTATTTAATACTCTCCACAATACCATTCACTTTTAATTTGAAAATTGAGAAAATTGATACTTGAGAGATTAGATACTCAAAGTGACACATTGCAATATGATTCAGTTCAAGGCTAGACTCTATTCTCTTAACCATTGTACTATATAACTTCTACTGCTAACATTTTTCCACTTGAAGTATATTATCCAGGGTTATATTGAATGAAAACCCACATAGTCATTTTCTTTATTTTGATATTAGTAACTTCAAAATATACTTGGGAAGAAAAGAAAAAGGAAAATTAGCCACATAAGGCAGCGTGGGGGAAATTCAGGGGTGATAAATTCAGGAAGGTGAGAAAGTAGGTCTTTAATTGTGGAGCTCTTTAATGGCTAGGCTAGTGTATAGCTAAATAGAAGAAGAAAGATTAGGCCATTGCTGTTATTTTGGACAATTCAAGGGACATGGTCAAGGCAAAGAAGGGAAGAAAGCCAGTACATTGATCATGACCACCAGGCACTTCCTTATGATGAACCTGGCATTGCTCTACACCACTTGCAAATGCCAATTTAATTCTCATAAATGCTCAGTGGGGTAGGTACTGCTGATGCTGTTGCCAAAGAATCTGAGGCATCCTACCAGACCTCTCTCCTGAGCTCCAGTGCATATCTCTGAACCAGGTCCCTGGACTAATACAGCCTGCTTGCCATCTCTAGTTGGAAGCTGAATAATTTGATCCCTCAACCTCTGTCTTCAATCGGCTGCTCCAACACCTTTCCCTCTATTATTTCGTGCCAAGTCCATCCTTCTAGTTGCCAAGCCAAAATTCTTGTTGTCATCCTTGGTTTCTTTTTCACTTTCACATTCTACCCCCCTCCCCAAATGGATTTTTCCCCCAAAGCTATGTACT